AATTAGGCTCAGGCCGGCGACAAAGAGGTCGAGGATTTCTTAAAGATCTAGTCAAAATGGGTCGTAATCAAGCCTTGATTGCCGGAGCTAAAGTAGGAGCAGATGTGATTAAAAAAAGGAAAAATATCAAAAATGCTCTTTTAACTCATGGACTCAATGCCGTTAAAAATACAGGCTTATTTACTCTCAATAGAGGAGGAGATTTAGCTTTTAAAAAGATGAATAAGAAAGGTCAAAAAGGTAAAGGGAGAAGAAAAAGAAGAAGACGGCAGAGAGGGAGAGGAGTTGTGAGAAATTTACTGAAAACGGGAGCTAAACATGCCTTGACTGCTGCTGCTAGAACGGGGTTAGATGTGTTAGAAAATAAGAGATCTTTAAAAGACGCTGTCAAAACTCTCGGAGTACAAGCCCTGAAACAAAGATTGAATCTAGGTAAGAAAAGAAGAAAAAAAACACCTGTGTTAGCCCGAGGAGGTCCTAAGAAGAGAAAAAGGGGTTTAGATATCTTTGATTGAGACACTATAAATAGGGGAGTCGAGTGATATTGACCTTCATTTGTGAAAAATCAATCCTAGTAGACAGACATCATGTTGCAACCAGATTCCTGTGCGTGTGGGATGAACAATTTAGAATTGTTCCAAGTCCCCCCGACTAATATTGCTTTAGAAGACTCCAAATGGGAAGAATATTGCCCTATTTCCAGTACTTTAGATTCGGATACGGCTCCTATTGAATTTGAAATTAATGGACAAGGAGATCAATATCTGGATTTATCTCAAACGTATGTTCAAATAGTGTGTAAATTTACCAAAGAGGATGGTACTAATCTGACTGGAGCTGGCAGTACTTGCGCCCCGGTGAATAATATCTTCCATTCTTTGTTTACGGAAATCGATCTCAGTGTCAATGGAAAAATAGTGACTCCTGGAACCGATACTTATCCTTACAAAGCTTATCTGGAGAAATTACTTTCTTACAAACCCAGAACTTTAATGACCCAGATGAGAGCTTGTAGTCTGTGGGAAAAAGATACAGCAGGACACATGGACGAAGTAGGGGTAGCAGACCTTGGAGTGGCTCAAAATAAGACATTTGATGTAACCCCAGGTGAAAATGGTGGTGCTGATACTGTGACCATTAATAAACCTATCCTCCCAGAGTCACCGGCCAATTCTAAAAACGAAGGATTTAGAAAACGTCACCAGGCTATCAAAGATAGTAAGAAAATAACCTTGTACGATCGTTTACATCTGGATTTATTTCAACAAGACCGATTTCTACCCAATGGAGTAGATGTCCGTTTGAGATTTAATCGAGCTAAACCTCAGTTCTATATGATGATCAAAGATGGAAGTACGGGAAAAGTCAAGATATTGAGCATGATCTTGTGGGTAAGAAAAGTCAAACCCACGGCCGTCATGATGAATGGTATTAATCAAAGTTTGAACACTCACAGAGCTAAATATCCATTGAGAAGAGTCGAAGTGAAAACCTTTACCATACTCACAGGAACTCAATCTAAAATCACAGATCATCTGTTTCAAGGCCAGATGCCTAAACGCATCATTTTAGGTTTTGTGGACAATGCGGCATTAAACGGAGATAAAACTAAAAATCCGTTTCATTTTCAAAACATAGGAATTAAGAAATTAGATGTCAGTATCAACGGAGAGACCATGAGTACTCGTTGTTTCGAACCTAGTTTCAATGAAGATTTATATCTGAGATCTTATCTGAGTATATATCAAGCACTGGGAAAATTAGGAGAAGATTGGGCCCCGGACATCACCCTAGAAGAGTATAAAAACGGATACACTTTATGGGGCTGGGATTTCACGAAAGATCAAGAAGCGCAATCGGATAAATTCCATATCATAGAAACCGGAAATCTGAGAGTAGAAGTTCAATTTACGAACAATACGGTGAACACCTTAAATTGTGTGGTATATGCAGAATTCGATAATCTGTTAGAAATCAACAAACAGAGAGAAGTCAGTATTGATTATTAATGGATACAGGACAGTTAAAAGAAGTCTTATCCAGAGAATTAAAGAGTTCTTTTGGTGGAGTGTACCCTTTAGATTTATTACCGGATCAATTAAGACCTCAAGAAAAAGCCATTGTGGTGAATACGGATCCTCAAGATAAACCTGGAGAACATTGGGTATGTTTGTATTTGTCCAGTCATCGAATATTTTGATTCTTATGGATTTCCTCCCTTACAAAAAGAAATTCAAGATTTTATCCATCGTCATGCTCAACAACGGATTTATAATCCGTACCGATATCAAGCTTGGAATACAGATGTATGTGGACAATATTGCGTGTATTATTTACATCAAAGACACAAGAAGAGAAAAACCGCAGATGAGAGGTTATTCCCCTTTGACCATAGTACAGCATTACAAAGAGATCATTATTTAGCTCAATGCTTTAAAGACACTTATCATAAAAGACCTACGGGTCATGGACAAACTTGTCAATGTTTCTATCAAAATGTATTGTAATTGTTGTTGTTACTGTTATCAATAAAAGAATTGAAAAAAAATCTATTCTTGTTTTTTTTTTTTTTTTTTAAAATACTACTAAATAAAAGAAAAGGTATAAATACAAGGTGTAAAATGAAAAATATATCAGTTGATTTGTCTTAATCATGGGTAACACGTCTAGTAAAGAAAAGAGTAAAATTCAATTTGGAAGGAGAGTTCTGAGAGAGGAAGATGTGGATAGAGGTATACCAATTCAAATACAGGAGGATGGGACTATTGAGATCCTTTCTCATGAAAAATATAATCAATTATGTCCAGAAAATGATAATGATGGGAGAGATTACATTGAAAGACCCTTGAGTGCAGAAGAAGAATATACCCATTTATTACCAAAAAAAGCAGAAGAAGCTGTGTCCAAAAAAAAAAGGAATTTTGAGAAAAAGAAAAAGATTGACACAGGATTCTAAACCCAAGAGAATCATTGTAGAATCTGAATAAAAATTAAAATATCTTGAATTGTTATCTATATAAAAAGAAGTGTCACCAAAAAAAAAAAAAATCATTGTTTCAAACATGAGTCTGACAGAAGGATGTATCATGGAAATCAGAACTCAATTGTTGAAAGACATTAAAACTCATTATGAGAACCAACATAAAGAAGATCCAGGCAATCATTATATTGCTAAATTTAAAAAGGAGAGATTTAGAAGAGCTGCTAATTGGATATTTAATTTAACTGGAGGTCACCAGGAAGATATAGATCAAATCATTAGAAGTGATTATCAATACTTGATCTTACAAAAAGAAATGCATCCAGAAACAGGAAAACTTCATCATGTGAGAGGATTCCTTCAAATGAAACACTGGACCCATGAGAGAAACATGTACAAAATCATTCATGGGTTAACCTGTTTTGATATGTCTCACAGCACACCAGAATTAGAAAGAACATTTTATAGACAAGGTGACAACTATGAAGAATATGGGACTTTAAAACCTGAAATGAGAAACAAAGAATTAATTCCAAGAGATTGTAGATTTACTTGAATAAATAACATGGAGCTTGTGTGTGTGTGTGGTTTTTTTCCCTAGACTGTGAATCACTGCCAAGTATGACGTCATAATATAAGGTTTTGTGTATGGACTGACTCAGCATAACGTAAACAAAACGTACACAGTAGTATCTCAGTAAAAAACGTAGGTCCAACATTTATTTTTGTATAAAGAGCTGTGAAGATGAATTTCAATACTTGATCCTAGAAAAGGAAATTTCATCCCTGGACAGGAAAAGTGCATCAAATCAGGGGTTTCATTCAAATGAAAGAACCTGTAGGAGGACTGACTGTGGCTAGAGTTCACTGGTATGCAGATTTTTGTATGTCTCACAGTACACCAGAATTAGAAAGATTGTTTTACAGGCAAGGTGACAACTATGAAGAATATGGAATTCTGAAACCTGAGGAGAGAAACAAAGAATTAGAGTCCAGAGATGAATTCGGGAAATGGGAAATTGGTGCCTGGAGAGGTTTCCTGGAAAGAAAGAGAGAAATGATCAAGAATCTGAAAAATAGAAATTAAAATTTTTTAACAGTTATTGTTGTTATTTTTTGTTCAGGTTATATATAAAAAGGTGTGACATTGAAAAAAAAAAATATTCCTAAACATGAGTTTACAGGAGATACCAGGAGATTTATTAAACTTTCCTGTAGAAGCTATTGTACATCAATGTAATTGTTTGACTGTAAAAGCTCATGGATTGAGTCAAAGTATAGCTATGAAATACCCCAGAGCTAATCTCTATGCGACCCTCAGACCTTTAAGGTCTAGAAATTTAGCCCTAGAAGAAGATAGAGGAATTCCAGGCACCCTTCAAGTGTTTTCTTTACAAAAACCTGTAGTCATTTGTCTGTTAGCTCAATGGGATTATGGCACAGGGCATTATAATCGCCTACCTTATTCTCAAGATACACCAGAAAATAGAGAAAAATGGTTTCAAGCTTGTTTACAAGAATTGGGAACTTTACCTTACCAGACATATGGCTTTCCTTATAAAATAGGATGTGGTTTAGCAGGAGGAAATTGGACTCATTATAGACAATATATTGAACAATTTGTACACACTTATCAAAAACAAGTGTACATTCTTCATAAACATTGATTGTGTGTGTGTGTTATAAAGATTGACTGTGTTATAAAAAATAAAAAATGTGTTTATGTTATTTCATTAAAAAAAAAAAAAACAGTGACCTGGTGTTTATAAGTTTCTATAACCTTGAATGTTTTAGAGGTATCTATTCAAATCATTAAAGTGGCCCTTAAAAGGGCCGTTGATACGTTTCTATAACCTTGAATGTTTTTAGGTATCTTTTCGTATAGGTATCTATTCAAATAAGTGGCCCTTAAAAGGGCCGTTGATACGTTTCTGTAACCTTGAATGTTTTAGAGGTATCTTTTCGATTCATTAAAGTGGCCCTTAAAAGGGCCGTTGGTTGATTTTTTTTTATCAAGGGTTTACTCCCTGAGAGGCCTGCCTCTACCTCTGCCGCGGAACTCTGTTCTGTCTGAGAGGGGAGGTCGCTGGTTACCGGTCAACGGCTCCATAAAGTCTGGCCTTCCGGGTCGGGGTGGAGATGGCTGTCTTGGAGGAGGGGGTCTCAATCCTCGCCCGCGAGCTGCATATCTCGAAAGCCTGCGTCTACACAGAGGGCAACATTGGTTCATCTGTACCAGCACAGCTGAACACTCGAGACAAGCCGGTCGACGGCGACACTGACAGCAGATGTAATTGGACATCCGATCCTCCTCCAAGCAAACTGCACAGGAATCCAGCCTGGCTTGGCTGCTGCAACTTGAATCCCCCATCTAGGAATTGGCCCCGTAGTACTCACACCTGGTGACATCTCCGGGGTCGGGGGTGGTGGTCTAGCCAGCTCCGGGGAAGGTGGTGGTGGTCTAGCCAGTTCCGGGGAAGGTGCCCAGTCATCGTTGACGGGAGGGGACCAATCCGAATCAACGGATGAAGAAGCCCCCTGTCCAGCCCAATCGTTGTTAACGGGAGGGGTCCAATCCGAATCTACGGAGGAATCCCACTGTCCAGCAGCTGCTCCCGGGGGGTGACTGGGTGACCAGCTAGGAGTTGGTGGTCTTCTTGGAGGGGACGGGCTTCTCGGGGTGTCCTCGAGTAGTTCCGGACTACTCAGAGGGGCCGAATAAGAAGCAGCAGGTGTTGAATCTGTCCTCCTCCTCCTCCTTGGCTGGTCATCATCTTCACTGGTAGACGGCGATCTTCGTCTTCTTCTACGGTGTCTTTGTCGTCGCCGTCTTCTTCTCATCCCGTTCAACAGGTCACTGGCTAGGCCCAGAGTAGCTATCGGCCAGCGAGCTAACTCCGTCCCGGTGTTGATGTCCCGGACAATCCAGACATTTACGACCTCAACGCCATCAACCAAAAAGTAGTTAGGAACGTCTTCCTCAGCCATACTGATACGTTGTCAGCAGAACTGATACTAACAGAATGACACCGAGCTCTGGCAAGCTGCCGTATTTATGCGCACAGCACGAGCGTAAAAGAGAGCACCCTAAACCGAGAGCCAAAAAAATCATGGCGACGTCAAATTGTGTTATTTTGTGCTTCACAATCTATACATTGGAGTGAATAACTTATTATAGGATTAGAAATACTTTCAAACATCTTACCCATCAGATGAAGGTAAGTTTCAGGCATGATTTCATAGTATTTTTGATGCATGACATTTATCTGTCGTCTAGAAAAGAAGCATTGATGTTGAACCGAAGGGGTAAAATCGGGTCACCTGAATACATAAAATAAGTATTTTTACCCTTCTTAAAGTGTGATACAAGGAAAACTTAATCTATACAATAAGATTAAACCTAGGGAAAAGTGTTGATGCTGTTTTTAAATCAAAGGAATGGTTTCATGTGTAAAAATATACCCAGAGTCTGTTTAGGCATAGACACAAGAAGGCGAAGGTCGGCCATTTTTTGTAGAAAATCACTGTATAGACTTGTATAGAGAATATAGGATTTTTTTAAATCGTGACCTTTTCTGACTGGAATTTTTAAATAATTAAAATCAGTTTAGTTGAAAAACAATTTGAATCCACTTTATTTCCAGTGGGAAGGTCTAGATGTTTTATAAATAACAATATTGAAAAAACACAGCGTTCTATACACATAGGCATGATTTTTTTTTTTTAGGAATCAAAGATTTTGAGATAAAACAGAATCGGATTAGTTTTAAAATCAATTTGTATCTACTTTAATTGAAATGGGAATAGATTTTTTTTTTCTTACTAAACAAAAAAAAAATCTCAGCGTCTAAACAAGGGTACAAGGTGGCGTCATATTTGTATAGAAATAATAACAAAAGACTTATTGTGGTTTACATCCTTTATTTTTTCTTTAATAATTGTTCAAACTGTTGAATTCTCCTCTGAAATCGTAATCGATCTGCTACTATAGCCATCCATGGACTTTTTCGATCTTCGGGTGGTAAATGATAAATTTCATTCAGGCTGGTATCAAAAGTTGCACATTTCTTAACATGTCTGAAATTTCTACATATTTCATCCCGTATTGGATGCATATTTTCTCTACCGCTTCTATTTCCTTCCAGAGTAGACATACTTTGCTCCCTTCGGGATGACATAGGAAACTGTAAGGTTTTCCTAAATATTCGCTCATTTTCATCCCGTACATTTTTTCTGGTAGAGTCTTTTTGATCCGTTGACAAAGGAAATGTATAATCGCTAGTCTCCCCAATGTCGGATGATGTAATAAAGCCAGGCATTGTAACCACAAGTCCTGGGTATTTTCTATGATGGTCGTCGCTCTCTGGAACACTGGTTCCGCCTCCGGGGGTAAAGCTTCTTGATTTTTCTCGATACATCGCATTAAAAAATCATACCCTTCCAACACTAAAGAGTGAGTGTGTTTATGTGTTGACATGATAGTCAATTGTGAAGAAATGACCAGAAATGTTTTCTTATTTATACCCCTGTATCTATACAAGACGTACACAGAACGTACAATGTACTGACTCAGCAAAACGTAGGTAAAACGAGAGAGGGTGCTAAGCGCGAGGGTACAAAACGTAAGTCAAACCTATTTTTGCACACGAAATCCAAAAGGGTATATAAACCAGAACTGGAAATTTAGGATCATTCTTATTGGGCACTTGGTACTTGACAGACGTAGAAATATGGCACAGGCAATGATGAATTCCGTGGAAAATCGTAATTATATTCCAGCTAGCAATGAAGGGTTAGGATATGCTCTACCGACAATGCCTGACACGCAGGATCCGATCGGATTTGATCTGGGACTTTATAATATGCCTGAACCCATGACAAAGGAAGATATGGGCATCTTAACCACCACTTTGGATGGCATTGTTAACATGCTGACTCAACTGAAAGAGTACAACACCAGTGAATTTTGTTTGATTCGTGGGAAATTGTCCAGATTAGAAGTTAAAGTCGCTAGAATGGAAGAAAAAATGAGAGGAATCCAGAAAAATGAAAACACAGGAGCTGCCAAGAAAATGAAGATACAGGAGCTGCCAAGGAAAGTAAACAGACAGACCCATGTTTCATATGTAAAGAATTAGGACATTGGGCTCCGGACTGTCCCAGAAAAAAAAAACAGAACTTATGTTACAAGTGTGGAAATTTTGGACATTGGGCCCATCAGTGTACAGATGACAGTATGGAATTACTCAAAGAAGTCGAAAAACTGGAGAAAAAGGCACAAGAAAACAAGACCCAAATCAGGAACATAAGACCAGTCAACAGGATAAAATTCCAGCTAACAACAAGAGGAAACTTCCTGCTACTACTACCCAGACGGAGAAGACCCTGAAACTCCAGAAGAAAAAGTAAATATGTACACATTATTTGAATAAATCATCTTACACACTTTTTACTGAGTTATTGTTTTTTCCGTTTTCAGAAAATAGAGAGAGGCTTGCTCTGTGTGAATGACACACATGACGTCACAATGGTATACTTGAATCGATGCCAAGATTTTGTGTGTATTGCCTATGCCTGACTCAGCACAAAACGTAGATCAAACGTACCCCCCTTTTTACTTGGGTTTTTCCAGTGTGTATACTAGATTGAACCGGCCATCTGGGACCAAAAAAAGTGCACTCAGTTGACCCGCCTATCCAGGATCTGGGGGGGGGGGGGACAAAAACTGCACTCAGTTGACCCGCCCATCCAGACCCCTTATACTACTGTCCCTAAAGTATCCGAGGCGCCATTTTGCAATTTCAAAATCTGTATTTACTGTGTGGTACATTTTTGAAAGCTGAATGAAGTGAGTATTCTTTTATTACTATGAAATATAGTATCCCTAACTAAATTATACCACTTTAGGTGTTGAAAATGCGCTGCGCAGGTTCTAATTGAATGGAAATTTTCAAAGAAAATAATAAACTAGGTATGATCCGTAACCCATGCACCATTAATCAGATAGAAATGTTCGTTACTTTTGGTAACGAACATTTTACTATGTTTGAACGCTGATAGAATTTGGAATACTTACAAAATATCCTGCTTTTTAATGTAATCCCCCTTTCCTTTAAATGCTTATTTCTAAACTTATGTTGCATATTTGGTGTAATGAATGAATTTAAAATCGATCAATTTGAAATCTTCATAGATTTTTATTTTCATCTTTTTGAAATTAACCACGATACATTTTGAGCAAAGAGATATTATGGCTCTCTTTTTTATTTCAAAATATACTACATAATGTAATTGTTTTCAATATATTAATTGTTTCTGGGAAAATCTTAACGAACTTTTGCATAGCACTGAATCTATGCGGTAACGAACGTTTTATTTCTCGGTATCGAACATTTTATCCATTACAGATTTCAATTATGGGCAAATGTAGAGCTGAAATTCAGAAAGCCTACCGCGAGCGACTGAAACAGAAGGATAACGAAGTGTATCTTGCAAAGAAGAGAGCAAGAAGGCGTGCTTGTTATGTACCAAGTGCACAGCTCAGCAGAAAGAAACTTAAGGAAAGAAACGAGAAACAGGGAGAGACTTCGGCGTTTCTATGAGAAAAAGAGGCGCGAAAGAGAAATAGACGGTGAGAACACTAATGATGACACAAGCGGATATGAAACAGCAGAATCCGGGCTGTTACAGGTGCAGTTCCAATTTCCAAATGGAAAACAAGATGTGTTTGTGAAACACTGATGCCCCCGTATGGCAGCTTATGGCGAAGGTTAAAGTTTCTCAAATGCAAGTCAAAATCCAGGCCAAAAGATAAAAAAATGTTGATACCCAAAGAAAGGTCTTGTCTCGAGCAATACACCTGTGAAATTTGAAAGACCTAGATACAACTGTTCAAAGGTTATGGCCAAGGTTAACGTTTTTAAAATAAAAGTCAAATGTCAAGGTCAAGGTCAAAGTGGTTGGTATCCAAAGGAAGATCTTGTCACAAGGCTTACATATGTGAAGTATGAAAGCCCTAGCATCAATCATTCAAAAGTTATGGCCAAGGTTAAAGTTTTTCAAAAGTAGGTCAAACTCCTAGGTCAAGGTCAAAGGGTCAAAGTGGTTGGTATCCAAAGGAAGGTCTTGTCACATGGATTACTTATGTGAAGAATGAAAGCCCTAGCATCAACCATTCAAAAGTTATGGCAAAGGTTAAAGTTTTTCAAAAGTAGGTCAAACTCCTAGGTCAAGGTCAAAGGGTCAAAGTGGTTGGTATCCAAAGGAAGGTCTTGTCACAAGGATTACATATGTGAAGTATGAAAGCCTTAGCATCAACCATTCAAAAGTTATGGCCAAGGTTAAAGTTTTTCAAAAGTAGGTCAAACTCCTAGGTCAAGGTCAAAAGGTCAAAGTGGTTGGTATCCAAAGGAAGGTCTTGTCATAAGGATTACATATGTGAAATATGAAAGCCCTAGCATCAACCATTCAAAAGTTATGGCCAAGGTTTAAGTTTTTCAAAAGTAGGTCAAACTCCTAGGTCAAGGTCAAAGGGTCAAAGTGGTTGGTATCCAAAGGAAGGTCTTGTCATAAGGATTACATATGTGAAATATGAAAGCCCTAGCATCAACCATTCAAAAGTTATGGCCAAGGTTGAAGTTTTTCAAAAGTAGGTCAAACTGCTAGGTCAAGGTCAAAGGGTCAAAGTGATTGATATCCAAAGGAAGGTCTTGTCACAAGGAATACACATGTGAAGATTGAAACCCTAAGCATCAACCATTCAAAAGTTATGGCCAAGGTTTAAGTTTTTCAAAAGTAGGTCAAACTCCAAGGTCAAGGTCAAAAGGTGAAAGTTGTTGGTATCCAAAGGAAAGCCTTGTCACAAAGAATACACATGTCAAGTTTGAAACCCCAAGCATCAACTGTTCAGAAGTTATGGCCAAGGTTAAAGTCTCATAAAATTTTGCAAAAGTGGGTCAAACTCTAAGGTCAAGGTCAAAAATGATGGT